TTTATACCAAAGAACATCTCACTGTGATTGCATTTTATCTGGTTAATAATTGAAAATGAAAATCCAGATTATCACACTCGCCCTAAACCAATTTGATTCCTGTGGAATTTGTCTTCATTAATCCAAAAGTTGGTAGAAATGCATATTCAGCTCTGTGGTTCAAGAAGTTTCCTACTTCCTATCTAATCAGATTGAGCTTTGGTGTTTTAAATAGTGTGAATTGATTATGCTTTAGTTCTGTTTTCTTTTCCTAATATTGAATTTTTAACAGTTTTTTTTTTACTATATTCCCATGTGTTTTTATGTGAGCCGCTTTGGGAAAGTGGCAAACAAATAACTGTATAAAATAAACATACACAAATAAATATGTTCCTGAATAGATGCAATGTCTTCTTAAATGGAGTTTTATATACACAAAGGAGTTTTTGCACCCTGTGATCAATGAGTTAAAGACCAGATGTGGTGTTGTTCACATTGTTAGCCTTCTAAAAACAAAGCAGGCATGGGGGGGGCAGAGATTGGGGACAGGGAAGAGGGGCCTTTACGTCTTTGTCATCACAGCAGTCTCAGTCAGTATTGGGCCCTATGGATTTGTATCTGGAATAGAAGAAGGACCTTCAATACAAATAGGATGAGGAAAGCGCAATGCCATATCCTCCAAATTTTCTCTAATGAAAATAGGGAAGTCATATTCCATTACCATCATTGTTTTGTTATTTAGGTAATGGTAAAGGACCCCTGGGGGACGCGAGTGGCGCTGTGGGTTAAATCACAGAGCCTAGGACTTGTTGATCAGAAGGTCGGCGGTTTGAATCCCTGTGACGGGGTGAGCTCCCGTTGCTCGGTCCTTGCTGCTGCCAACCTAGCAGTTCGAAAGCACGTCAAAGTGCAAGTAGATAAATAGGTACCTCTCCAGTGGGAAGGTGAACGGTGTTTCTGTGCGCTGCTCTGGTTCGCCAGAAGTGGCTTAGTCATGCTGGCCACATGACCTGGAAGCTGTACACCAGCTTCCTCGGCCAATAAAGCGAGATGAGCGCCGCAACCCCAGAGTCGGTCACGACTGGACCTAGTGGTCAGGGGTCCCTTTACCTTTACCTTAAAGGACCCCTGGACAGTTAGGTCCAGTCAAAGGTGACTATGGGGTTGCAGTGCTCATCTCACTTTCAGGCCAAGGGAGCTGGTGTTTGGCAACAGACAGTTTCTGGGTCATGTGGCCAGCATGACTAATCCACTTCTGGCACAACGGGACCCCGTGACGGAAACCAGAGTGCACAGAAACACTGCTTACCTTCCCGCCGCAGCGGTACCTATTTATCTACTTGCACTGGCATGCTTTCGAACTGCTAGGTTGGCAGGAGCTGGGACAGAGCAATGGGAGCTCACTCCGTCACGGGGATTCGAACTGCTGACCTTCCGATCAGCAAGCCCAAGAGGCTCAGTGGTTTAGACCACAGCACCACCCGCCCATAGGACTGGGTTGTCCCAGCCACTCTGGGTGGCTTCTAACATATATAAAAACATAATAAAACATTAAAAATTAACAAAAACAACCCCTTCCCTATGTCTTCAGATGTCTTCTCAAGGTTGTATAGTTACTTATTTCCTTGGCTCAGGACTCTATACCCTCCAACATTTCTCCGATGAAAATAGGGACGTCCAGCAGCGAACCGGCACAGCTTCAATAAATCCAGGACTGTCACTGGAAAATAGGGACACTTGGAGAGTCTGCAATACTCATTGGGACCAAGGTCAGAAAAAACCCCTCCCTCCCACATTAGGGTCCTGATCAATTTAAAAAATCATGCAAGGGATAATGGCATGAATAATGCCATATCTTGTTTGGTGCTGACCCATATGGGTTTAGCATTTTGATGGCAGATGCTTTTTAGAAACAGTTCACTGTCGTCCATAGACTCTAGTTTTGTTCTGGGGTGTTTTGCAACATTTCTCAACTGTGGAGGATGAAAAAAGAATTCCAATTGTTTTGAAAATAAGAAACTGCAATTTGGGGGACAATGCAAGCTTCGTAAAACCTGATTGCTAAAACATATGTACTTCTGATCAATGTCACTGACAAACAGGCTTACAAATAAGCATATAACACAGTCATCACTTTTTAAGTTTGAATAAAGTGAGAAAAACTAATTGGCGGAAGGGTATGCTTAATAAATTGTTGGGATTCCGCCCCCCCTTTTTAGCCAATCTCCCCATAAACCAAGAAGAATGAGAATGTGATACATAATAAACTAAGTGTTACTGTTTTCTACAATCACCCAGGCCTTACAATTTGATTAATTGCAGATCCTGAATCACTGAAAATAAATGGCAGTTAATTATCCCTAACACCTCTGCAAGAACAGATTGGGGAGGACTGTGAAATTAGCACACTGTGGTCTGAGCTAAATATATCATTTTAGCTTAACAAAATGCAATAATATTGTAATTCAAACTTATGTTCAACAAAATTAATAGCTTTTAATACCGAAATACCTCCATTTGATCTATCCCATATTTTATATGCACTGACGTTTATATGGATGGTTGTTCTGAAATAACCATCACTTCCAGAAACTGGTTTTGAAGTTTGGATTTCAGACTGCTATTCTTAAGTGAGAGTTTTAAATGGGAGAGGACTTTGTTTATCTTAATATTTTAGGTGACTTTTTGCCCTCCGTTTTATTTTTCCACATTTAACTATAGCCAGTTCTGTAATGTGTCCGAGGAAATAGTTTGTAACTAAACTGTCATCTACAGTGGCCATAAAAGAGCTTCCCACTTTAACAGACGTTATGATATACAGTGCTCAAAGTTTCATATCTGCCCTAGAATTTATATACAGGCATCCATCTGTCTTAGGAGAGAATGGAGGATTCCATCTTCAGTGATGAAGTCAAAGGGTTGTGTCTGTAAAGAATGATACACTAGATACAATGAGGGAAATATCTGGGCCAGGATAATTCCACAATTAATTCCACAGATGTACCTAAAGCTTTCTCAGAGTTAGTCTTTCAAGGTGTTCTCCATTCTACCCAACAAATCTCCCAAACTGTGACCTGGTTCCTGTAATTCACCTTCCAGGTCCTTTTCTAGAGGTGTGTGAGTATACATTCACATGCTGTGCTGTGTGTGCATTTATGTACTTCAACAAAACAGGACAGAGGTTTTCATGAAGTTTGCATATGCCAACACACACACACACACACACACAGCACTTAGGCCCAATTAAGATCGTGGAGAGTTAGGTTGATCGGGGTGAACTTTTCACCCTAATTTCAATGAAATTTACATTGGATCCATTCCTATATTACTTTGCATTAAGAATGTGTTGTAGGGTTATAAGTGCATTGCCCATATAACCTGGGCATATACATACTCTGAAACAGGTGCAATGGAGTCATCTGAAGGAGGCACAAGAAACATTGCGAGATGCAAAATCTAGAGTGATTTGCCAGGACAGACTAGGCACCCATCTTTACTTTGCATGTGAAGCACAATTCTCAGGGTTCTGTGGGAACCGTGACTGACTGTTCAACCACTCTGAAACTTGTAGCTCTGTGAGGGAATAGGGTTCTCCTAACAAGAGCTTGTTCCCTCTTCCATGTGACACCCCCTGAGAGATTTGTAGATGGTTTTCATATCTCATCTCAGTGTCTTCTTAGTCTCCTCAGTCTGTTCAAGGGGGCTTCCTCCCTAGATTGTGATTTTAGCACTGTACTATGATACCACTCCAAACAGTAATGGCTTCCTTCAATTAATTCTGGGTTCTGTAGTTGGTTCAGGGTGCTGGGAGTTGTTAGGAGACCCCCATTCTTCTCATAGAGCTACAATTCTCAGAGATCCTAGGGAAGAGACATTGATTGCTAAAAAAAACTTTGGGTTGGAAATAGAGATCTCCTAACAACTCTCAGCACTCTTAACAAACTGCAGCTCCCAGAAATCTTTGGGGAAGCCATGACAGTTTAAAGTGGTATTGTAGTGCTTTATACGTGTGGTGTAAATGAGGCCTTAGTCTGGTAGAATTTGCATATGCTTGATGAAAATATCTGTTTGATTCAAGACTTCAGCAACAAAACGCTGGACCAGTGAACGATATAATTTCACTTCAAGGGTTGGCAGATTATTTGCCAGACACAAAACTGCATAGGCCTATATCTACGGAGCTATCTTGCTGTTGAAAGCTGAGGACATAATATGCTTTTGAAATTAGGCCCATATGTACAGATACCCAGTTTGCGTGAGCCAATGATGAGATGTGTTTTTCCATGACTACTTCAGCTTTTCTTTATTAAAATATTTATTTGTAATGCAGTAGCAATAACAATATTTTGTGGTCAAACACAATATGATCCCTTCATTTCAAATGTAATGGAATTTTTTTTCCACCAGGCATGCAGCAATGCCATGCTTAAAACAATAAACCAATAAAACAAATTTATATTTATATAAAAGTATCAGAAATCACAGATAGGGTCTATAAGGAGATGGTTAAACTAGAACACCCCAGACCACAGTGTTTCTGACTTTAATCTTCCAAAATAGTTTTTCATCCAAATTTGACAAAAAAGTGTAAAAAAAAAAGGCATAGCATTTTTATATGACATACTTCAAATATTGTTGCTTATGATCTCACCCTCTGACAGTAAATATTGGGTTAGCAATTTTCTGGAATTTAGAAAGAGGATTTTCTCTCTCCTCTCTTCAGCTGAGTTTCTCTGTAATAGATCTTTTGCTGACTTTGCCCTTTCCTTAGACATGAGAAGTTCCATCAATATTTGAGGAAGAGTGAAGTGGGGAAAGTGGATTGAAGAAATCTATTTATTATAGACTGAAAGTATGTCTTAGGTCTGTAATGGCATCCAGTTGATTGAGGCTGGTGGGACAGTGCCCCATTTCCCCAAATGGACTAGCCTCCATAGCTAGATAGTCTAAACGTGATAGTTCCGTACCAGAACAATGCTTTCTATGCAGAAGGTTCTACATTCTATTATTGATATTTCAGTCTGAAGTTGCAGCCAGGGCTGAGACCCTAGACATCCATTGTTAGCCATTACAGACAACACAGGTAGGGTACACAAGTAGGGCATTTACACATTGGCAGAAAAAAAGAAGAAAATTAAAACTACCAGCCAAAAAAGATTGACATTAAATTTGTATGTGCTAATTTATAGTATCGGTTCAAATTCAGAAAGAATCACTGTAATTTAAATAGAAATACAATGCATCCCATCCAAGTGAAGAGGTTGCCTGTGTGCCTCCTTAGTCTGCTGTTGAGGTCCTAACCGTGGTGGGTAATTTCAGGGCCTCTGCCTTCCCTTCTTATGGTTCATATGGGTACCCTAAACACTGGAGAAGATGGATTAGTGGTCTAATTCAGTGTAAGGTAGTTTTATATGGTCACCTGAGCCCTCTCCAGGCATCCTACTAACATGTATAGTTATTAGTGGGGAAGAGCATGCCAAGCTTTGTCCCTGTTGCCATCATCCTTCCTAATCTGGAGGGCAAACTCCAGGGAGCCTCTGATAGTTGTGAACTCTGCGGGGTTGTATTTCACATAAGTAAATACACAGGAGTCTTCTTGTGTTGGATCTTCCCCTTCCAACTCACAGAGGATGAGAGAGACAGTGAAATCAGGGAGCTTGGTGCTCACCCCCACTTTTCCCATTCACATGCTTGTTTTACCCAAGAGTAGAACTCGAGAAGGGGAGTAGGGTGGGGCTTTGGAAGAGATGTTTATCAACAACAAATATTCCCCTCAAATGCCATTTGCTGAATTTTCTCTCATCAACCTTTCCTGGGCCCCCCAAACCTCAATCTCTCCCTCAGTCCAGAGGTCGGCATCCCCCTTCTTTAGAGCACCTGTGAATATTCTGCATTTTTATGGTCATTATTATGAGATATACATTGTATCCATTAAAAAATGCTATTGGATACACTGAAGGGTTTTTCTCTTTTTTTGCAGCTTGCTCTTTTAGATGTCACACCTCTTGCCAGCATCTGAAATTGCCCAGTCCTCTCTCAAGAGTCTTTCCCCCCTTGAGATATAGCTCATCTCCGTCTTCAGATATTACTTTCCACTGCATTCTCATTCAACACTCTGCCAGCTCCATAACTTCCTCTTCTTTCCTGCCTGACACGTGGATGGAGACACTAAACAGTAAATGGAATTAAGGGCCATTAAATTAAATCTGCAGTGAGCAAATGACAACATGTGAAGCAATGCAGGCTGAAGTATTCGGTTGGTGTTGAAACTCACCTTTGAGTTTCATTTAGTGCAATGTCACCTGGGTCAAGTTATGGATCAGCCAGCTGATGTCCCCTAATGCCCTAGAGTTATGCTATGTTGAGAACTAATGATCTGGGGAATTGTGAGGAATTTAAAATGGTGACCATGAGTTGCTGGCCCCAGTTTAGTAAGTCCACCAGATAGGGATTCCACAAACAACAAGTCCAGGATTTAGTCATTGACATATCTAGGGATGGTTGTGAAGAACTCCTATCAGAAACACTGGAGTGGGTGGAGTTGATAACGAGCTAGATGGACCAGCGTTCTCATTCACTTTCCATGTTTTTATATTGCTGATGAAAACTACCTTTGTTCATTTGGCTTGCTTGCAAGGTTAATTTACAGGTATTGGCCTTCTGAAACATTTGACTTTGGGTTTGTGAGCTACAGTTCCCAGAGTGGCTTATCAATCAATTCCTCTTCACAGGGCATTCTGGGAATTGTAGTTCTGGGAGGGGAAATTGGGCCTGTTAACAACTCACAGTACCCTTAACAAACTGTGGATCTTTGGGTCAAACCATGGCTGTTTAAAGTGGGATCACAGTGGTTTAAATGTATGATGGAAAGGCTGTAGTCCTGTACACATTTACCAGGGACACGGGTGGCGCTGTGGTCTAAACCACCGAGCCTCTTGGGGTTGCCGATCAGAAGGTGGGGAGTTCGAATCCCCGTGATGGAGTGAGCTTCCGTTGCTCTGTCCCAGCTCCTGCCACCCTAGCAGTTCGAAAGCATGCCAGTGCAAGTAGATAAATAGGTACAGCTGTGGCAGGAAGGTAAACAGCATTTCCATGTGCTCTGGTTTCTGTCAGGGTGTTCCATTGTGCCAGAAGCAGTTTAGTCATGCTGGCCACATGACCCAGAAAGCTGTCTGTGGACAAACGCCGGCTCCCTCAGCCTGAAAGCAAGATGAGTACCGCAACCCCATAGTTGCCTTTGACTGGATTTAACCATCCAGGGATCCTTTACCTTTACCTTTTTTATCTCACAGTAAGTCCCATCTAGTTTTCCTTCTCTCTTCCTTGCCTCGCCCCCTGGCCCCTGGCCTTGTTCCTGGCACTTTTATTTTATATTTAATTGGGCATTCTTCTTTAATTTGCTGCTGTGCTGGAGGTGAGCATGAAGAAGTGGGACTGAGAAACGGGTGGCTGTGAAAAGTGTTCCTTTCCCCGGGTCTATGAAAACAAGCCAAATGAGCAGTTGGTAAAGCCATCAGCTTCTCTCCCTGAAACATACAGCAAACATGTGCTGTGACCTTCGCCTCTCCCCTTTGATTTACAGCTGCATTGGAAAGCAACTTAACGAGGTGGCATGGAGCTTCAAGAGCTGCTGAAGTCAATTTATTGTCTAAGTGTTATGGATGTTAATTAGATTAGGAATATGCTGAGGCTGTTACAGTTCCTGTATGGAGAGAAGGGTGGAGGGCACTCGTTTGAAACTCCTCTTTCTGTGGCATGGAAATGCAGGAAAAGGAGAAACCCTACACCCGGGGAAATTGTAGGGTTCCACTGGATTCCACAGAATTGTAAAAAGTCCAATAATAATAGCATTTATGAAAGAGCCAAGAAAGTACCAGACACGGGCTTTTAGAAATAATAAAAATAAAATAAAATAGCCCTGTTATTCTTGCATTGTTTTCACTATGATAGTGACAACCAAGAATGGTTTAGTGAGAAAATGCAAGTAGCGGGGCATTTTCTAGGCAGTACAAATTCTAAGACATAAATGTGAATTAAATTGTGGGGAAAAGCAAAGTAGTTGAAGACAAGGGGTAGCTTTTCAAATGGTTCTCTGGGGTTTCTATCTCCAAATCTAAAATAAAACCATTCTAAAACAAAGTAGAGCTGTGCTGGTGATATATTTTTTTTAAAGATAATTAAAAAATCAAATATATGTAATATTGCTGATACTTTGGGGACTGTGGGACGTTACTCCCAGCTACTTTGCTGGAAGATGTGCATGTCTTTCAGGTATGGAAACAAATAATCCAGATGAAGGGAAGGATTTTTAAGTATTCAATATCTGAGGCTCTTTTAGGGTATCATGCCATAAGGAAAAGGAATTAAGAAATGGTTAGTAATTTGTTAACAGCTGCTAAAATAGAGATTGCTAAGAAATGGAAAACTTCTGTTACACTTTCGATGACACGCTGTAGAGTTTGCTGTCTGTTGGGTGACAGAGATTCCCCAGAAACAGGGGTGCCAACTTGAATGAAATATGGGGGGGCAGGTAAGCCCCACGCTGCATAGTCAATCAAAAGACGTGGTGCAAGCACAGCATTTGAATGGCAATGCCCATCAACTTTTTTTGGGGGGGGTGCAGTCCCCTCAAGCATTTTATTTGGGGACCCAAAGGGACCTTGGCCCCTCGGAGTTTGCTCCTATGCCCAGAAAAGAACCATCTATACCATTTTTGGCAGAATTGGATGAAATTTGCAGGCTTCTTAGTTCATTCTTTTCAAAAAAAGAAAAATATTAAAAAGCATATTTCTGTTACCCTTATGGCTAAGATGGGTAATTGTTTTTGCACTTACCTTACTTCTGAGGTCACCAAGGGGTGTGTGAGAGTGTCTTTTCTTTCATTCTACAAATCACCTTTCAGCCTCCTCAGTTTGTTGAGTGATCATTGTGCAATAGAAGAGGACATTCGTTCACACACCCCTCAGCCACCTTGCAAGTAAAGTAAATGCTGTTAAAATGAAAATATAAAAGAATCATCAAACTATGGGAAAGAGAAACCGGGGGGGGGGGGCTCCTTTTGCACAAGGCAAATATTACCTATAACAGAGGTTATTAACATTTTTGAGTCCACAGCTCCCTTGACCAACTACATTCTTTCTGTGGTACATGCGTGGGGCACAGGAGCCCAGTTATGTCACCCCTTGCCAGCAGAGCTGGCAGATTCTCACCCTTTTTTGAACACCCTCCCTTGTGGAGTGTTCCCTCAGCCTCCTCCCCTCTCCTCTCTCCTTGGGATTCCTATGGGCAGCCACAGCAGCTGCCCCTGGTCTCTGAGCTGCTCCCCCGTGCCCCAAAGAGAGGTGCCTCCTCACACTGCCCCATAGGGGCCTGGGAAGCACCCCATGGCCAGCCCCAGAGGAACCATTCACCTGGAGAGTTTGTAGCCAGGGCTGCTGCAACAAACAGCTGTGCAAGACTTTGGGAGGCAGAGATGCAAGAGGGCGTCAGAGAAGGGAGGGAAGTAAAGAGGGAATGAGGCAAGTGTTGCCTGCGGCACCCCAACCATCTTTCAAGGCACCCCAGGGTGCCACGGCACACTGGTTGAAATAATAATAATAATAAGAATAAGAATAAGAATAATATCGTTGTTTATACCCCAACCATCTGGCTGGGTCTCCCCAGCAACTCTGGGCAGCTTCCAGCAAAATATAAAAAATAATAACATGTTAGACATTAAAAACTTCCCTGAACAGGGCTGCTTTCAGATGTTTTCTAAAAGTGTAATTCTTTATCTCCCCGATATCTGATGGACAGATGTTCCACAGGGAGGGCGCCACTGCCAAGAAGGCCCTCTGCCTGGTTCCCTGTAACTTTACTTCTTGCATTGAGGGAAGCACCAGAAGACCCTCAGAAGTGGGCCTCAGTGTCTGGGCTGAACAATGGGGGTGGAGACGCTCCTTCAGGTATACTGGGTCAAGGTCATTTAGGGCTTTAAAGGTCAGCACCAACACTTTCAATTGTGCTTGGAAACGTACTGAGAGCCAGTGAAGATCCTTTAGGACTGGTCTCAGCGGCCACTCCCAGTCACCAGTCTAGCTGCCACATTTTGGATTAGTTGTAGTTTCTCCCATCTCTTGCAGGGGTGCAATTAGTGCCAGCACCGTCTGTTAAGAGTTTGGGTGTAATCTTCGATACCTCCCTCTCCATGGAGGCGCAGATTGCAGCTATAACAAAGGCGGCATTTTTTCATCTCCACCAAGCTAAGCAGTTGGCTCCTTACCTCTTTCGCCCTGACCTAGCCACTGTGATCCACGCGACGGTCACCTCCAGACTGGATTATTGTAACTCGCTCTACGTGGGGCTGCCCTTGAGACTGACCCAGAAACTCCAGCGGGTGCAGAATGCCGCAGCGAGACTCCTTACGGGGTCTTTGCTGCGAGATCACATTCATCCGGTGCTATACCAGCTGCACTGGCTCCCGGTGGAGTACAGGATCAGGTTTAAGGCGCTGGTTTTAACCTTCAAAGCTCTATACGGCCTAGGACCCTCGTACCTACAGGACCGCCTCTCCTGGTATGCCCCACAGAGGAACTTACGGTCTTCAAATAAAAACATCTTGAAGGTCCCAGGCCACAGAGAGGTTAGGCTGGCCTCAACTACAGCCAGGGCTTTTTTGGCTGTGGCTCCAACCTGGTGGAACGCTCTGTCACAAGAGACAAGGGCCCTGCAGGACTTGACATCTTTCCGCAGGGCCTGCAAGACAGAGCTGTTCCACTAGGCCTTTGGTCAGGGCGCAGCCTGACTCCCTCCTTTGGCAATCTTTACAAAACTTTAGTTTATGGTTGCCATCAATTTTGATTTTAATTAATTTTTATAATGTTTTTATAATGTTGCACTATTTTAGTGTTGTTAGCCGCCCTGAGCCTGGCTTCGGCTGGGGAGGGATATAAATAATAATAATAATAATAATAATTATTATTATTATTATTATTATTATTATTATTATTTCTGGGTCACCTTCAAAGGTAGCCCCACACAGAGTGCATTGCAGTAATCCAAGTGGGAGATAACCAGAGCATGCATCACTCTGGCGAGACAGTCTGTGGGCAGGTAGGGTCTCAGCCTGCATACCAGATGGAGCCCTGGACACATAATTGACCTGCACTTCCATGGACAGCTGTGAGTCCAAAATGACTCCCATGCTCCGCACCTGGTCCTAGAAATTTGAGGGCAGGATTTGGTCCAGCACTACCTATCACTATAAACTTGGCATGTTCAGAACTTGACTTGCAGTGACTTTGGGCACAATTCTTTGGGCACCCAATATCTAACTTTCCTATATAAAAAATCAAATCAAAGTAGTTGTCAGTTCTCCATGGATGACATGAGTCAGTTGAAGTTGGGTGCATGGGATGGATTCAAGGCTTCCATCTCATAAAGAAGCTACCATTCACAAAGGAAGGAATGGAATGTGAACAGTGAATACTGTGACAGAGGCAAATAAGCCACAATACAGAACTGAAAAAGAACAGTTTGTGAACAGAAAGAGTCTTCTCCTTCTATGGACGGACACTCCTTTCATTCATGGATCAGAACCTATGGAGCATCTAGCTAAGAGACCCCTGGAACTGCTCACTAGAATGGCTCCATTTTCCAATGTTCATGCTTGTTGAACTGAAATCCACATTCACTACTTGTGTGGCATTTAAGATACAAAGGATTCCATGGTATGAAATAATTGCAAAGCCCTTTCAGGATCTCTGTTATGGTCATTTTGTTTCATTTGTTTAGAAAAGTTAATGCATTTCCTATTTCAACGAAGTTGCTGGCTTCATGGGGGGAAAGGCTATTAATGGAACATTAAAAAAGAAAGAAAGAAAACTATGCAAGTATGATTACAGATCCTGTATATCACTTGCATCTGTGTGGTTTCCAAATGAAACTTGTGACTCCTGGGAGAAAGAGAGAAAATCAACAGGGAAGTAGTTGCCCTGTTTAAAAAATATAATTTGTTTTCAGCTTTCAGAGCCATGTGTGTGGGACCATTCTATACATTTTTTTTATTTAGAGGGTCCCATTTTCTTAAGCTTGGTTGCTTAACAACAACAAAATTTAATCAGCGAGGTTGTAGCTGTAAGTTAACCGCTCATATATCACGCGAAAGATGCAGATGCAGGTATTTCATTTATGGCACACCCACATATAAATATCCAAAGTGGAAATGGTTCTTAAGCTACTGACTTCACAGGCTCCATCTGGCATTTCAAGTACTCCATCAGCAAAAGAGAATGCCCGGTTTCGACTCGACTACAAAATGTCCCATTGACTGAGCAATTTGTCATTTCCTGAGAGAGAAGGCAATGGCTAAAGGATGCGGACATGCAGGGAATGTTCAGTTAGGCATATCTGCTGTGTAACAGCCCAGAGATGAAACAGTGTAGTGGTTAGTGGTTTGGACTAGGACCTGGGAGACCAGGGTTCAAATCCCGACTTAGTCACAAAGTTCACTGAGTGCGCATGGGTCAGTCACTATCTTTTGGCTTAAGCTGCTTCATCGGATTGTTGTAAGGATAAAATGAGAGAACTATGCATGCCATATTGAACTCCTTGGAGGGAAGGTGGTATACAAATGGGATAATGATTATTATAATTATAAAAACTGTCACTAGTGTGGATGTCCCCTACTTGCTTTTTTGGTCAACCT